ATTTTCTGAGTCATAGAGTAAAACACTTCCACGCCCGGTGCAATTAAACTCACGCTCGGCCTGAACCCAACCTGAGAGCTCTAAAGCTCTTACACGCCTGGCGTATCATCATTACGCCCGGCGCAATTAGAGGCAGAGACTTCCAGGAGTCGCCTAAGCCCGACGTACCAAACTTGCACTCGGGGCAAATAAGGCAGAGACCTCACCAAGGTCTCATGCCTGACGCGCTCATTCTGCGCCTGGCGCCACCCTAGGCAGAGACCCCCACAAAGTCTCGATGCCCGGTGCCATATCAGTAACTCAAAATTTTGAGCCACTATCTGATATCATGCCTAGCGCAGTTCTCCCCACACTCGGCGTGATTCATCCTAGGACTTCCATTCCCAACCTCGCTCGGTGCAACCAACCAAGCGCCCGACATGCTTGGACAATGGAGTTCCCTGATGAACACACCCCCGATGCCAAGAACTACACCCGGCACAATTTCAAACTGCAACACTCACAACTTCGAAAATTTCAAACAAAAACCTACAAATCAGCCAGCTCAGCACACATGCAATCTATGAAATGAACTACATTTACATCATACAACTCAAAAACAAGCTCTATTTCAACATGCAACCATCAAACGCATCAAAATCACCATTTTCCCTAATTTTCCCGAAACCCCAAAAATGAACAACTCTTCAATCCAACCATTAATCTTTTGAATTCAAGCATCACTTGAGTTCCTAAACTCACTTACGACCAATCCGCACGCAATCTAACTTCCCTTACCTTGAAAAGAAAAAAATCCAAGCTTCGGGGAAGAGAAAGGAAAGAAGAACACGGAGGTCCGCGCTTCCGACTAGCTCCTAACGTCTCTACTCCACACCTTCAACCACAACAATCACCACAAGGAAGTTTGAGAATTTGATACCAAGGAAAAGGAAGTGAGGAGAAAATGAGAGTGTTGAGGGGAAAGAGGAAGAAAAGAAGTGAGTCTTACAGTTTGGGTTGAGTTAATCATGTGACGTGATGGTCAACTTTTCTTAAAGCATTTTTTGTTTCACCAATAAAAGCATTTATTTTAAAACCCCAAAAATAATAAAAATGAATTGAAGAAATTTAAAATTTATTGAAACAAGATTCAAATCATCTTTAATATTTGAATCAAGCAATTCAACTTGATCAATTTGTTTCTTAAACTCGTGCTTATATTTATATATAATTAATTGTTAGACAAATAACTAATTTTGAAGCTAATAATTAAGAATAAAAAATAATTTAAACTAGCTAGTTATTTTATAATTCTATAAAATCATCATAAAATATTAGTATAATCTTTAAAAAGACTTTCCAAATAAGAAAATTAAAACAAATAATGCAATTCTATGTTTAATTCCAAATACCATTATATATATGTCTTATTATCCGAGTACAGCTAGTTTTATGTCATTTTGTGCGTACTCACAAAATTTCATTTAGCTATTTTACGTAAAGATAAGGTGATGTGATTGATAATGAAATCCACTAATCTTAATTTTAATTTATAACCAAAAATCATAGGTGAATACAGCTTCTGCATTATTGCTTAAAGCATTTTAAAAGTATTATCAAATGTATGATCTAAAACTATTGTGAAAAATATTGTCGCTTCAATCCATTCGAACATTCCATAAGAATTGGTCAGTACCTTGATTTATCGGGTCCGTCAATTTAAGATTAAAATATAAACACATGTACATTTTTTAATGATCGATACATTAAAAAAAAAAAAGAGTACATGTTTTTTTAAAATATAATCCTAATTTCTCATATTCTAATGTAAGAATTAAAAACATTGAAGATGTTATTTTGTGTACGTGTTTTTTTAAATATAATTGTAATTTTTCATTTTTTAATATAATAATTAAAAAATAATGATAATGTTGAACGGATGTTTAGGTATTTTTAACAAGAGTTAATCACTTATACACTGTCAGTGTAAAAAAATTTTATATTAATAACTAATTATATTTTTTAATTGTATCATGTTACTGTTAAAAGTAAATATATTTATAATAAATGACACAATTAAAAAATATAATTAGTTGTTAATATAAAATAACTTTACACTCATGATTAACTCTTAAATCAAAATATCAAACACACGCTTAATTTAATTCTTGGAATTTTCCCTTACGCGTATTACTTAAAAAGCATTTCTCTTTTGATAATTTATCGTGCTTTATTAACGAAGTGTCTCACCCATTTTAACCATAAAAACTGAACTAGACAAGGTCACCAAAATGGTAGCATAAAAGGACAAAAGTCATCATCTTCTATAACAGATAATATTATCTTTATTATCATGAGAATATTTTTTGTCACGTTTGTTAATTTTTTTTTAATTTTAAATATTTTTTATTCCTAGAAATGTATCGTAATGTTTCAAGAAGTTTTTATTTTCTTTATAATTAGAATATAAGAAGTTACATGACAGTTGTAACTTTTTATTTTTGTTTAAATTATTTTAAATGTATTTCTAAGAATATTGAAATTTAACTAAACATTTTTTTTTTACGTATATCTAAAAAAAAAATTATCATTCTCACTTATAATATTATGGGAAATGCCAAATTATATTTCAAAAAAAAGTCGTTAGATATTGTATCGTAGATATTATTAAAAATTTTCTTTAATCAATTTTACTTATGTAATATGTGTTAATGGAATTCTTTATCATATATTATTAAAGAGGAACTTAAACTATAATGGTGAAAATATTTTTCTAAATTTTTTAAATTTTTTATTATTTTATTTTTTAGTTTTTACTGTTTAAATAATTTTTAAAATTTTTACATTTACAGTTTTTTTATCTTTTACTCTGTATTATTATTTTTTTAATATTATTTATTTTGTCTTGACGTAATATAAGTTTATAATGGGCGAATTGAATTAATATCTTGTCAACACAAAAATGACTAAAGTAATTAAAAAAAATACAAGTTTAAGTACTAAAAATATTTATATTAAATTATAAAAACTAAAAATGATTGAAAAATATATAAGAATTAAAATATTTATTTTAAATTATAGAGATTAAAAAATAAAGAAAGTTAAAATATTTAGATTAAAAAATGTTTTAACTAATTATAATTGAAAAATAACATCAATAATAGTTATGATATTATATGTAACTTTTAGTCATAATAAAATTAGATCATAATAAAATTAGATCTTCTTGACCGGTACTCCCTCTAAATTTATATAAAAACAAAAATAATTATTTTCACATTGATTAATAAAGATAGTTAAATATACTTATTTTTTACAATCTGGTATAAAATATACACTTTCATTTAGTAAAATATATTTAATCATATTTATTATAAATAGTGTTCACATTTATTATCTTAGTTGTATTTTGAATTAAACGTATTAAATAAAAGTAATTGAGTTAAAATTTGTTTTTAGTTATGTTAAAAATATAAATATTTTTTCAATCAACTTCTATATATAAAAAATGAATATATATATATATATA